CACATAGGGTGGCTATTCTCCTGCAAGAAATTAGAAGGAAGATTAAATGACCCTTAAAAATATATCCTCAAAATCAGTGGAACCAGGACAAGCATTTGGGCTAGTGGTTAAGATGCCTGCATCCAGCATTGGAGTATCTAGGTTCGAGTCCTGCCTCTGACTCCTGAATCCAGTTTCCTGCTAAAGCAGATTCTGGGAGGTAGCCATGACAGCTCAAGTGATTGAGCTTGTTACACATATTTGGGGAGTGAACAAGCAGATGAGATATCACTCTCCCCCAACCCCTCTCTCTCCTCTCTGCCTCTCAAAAAAAAAAAAAAAAAGAGAGATTATTTGTAAGTCATCATTTGGTGAACATGTAGAAATTTAGAAGGTGGAAATTTAGAAAGCTAAAAGTTCCTTTACAATACAAAATTAACATGCCCTGAAGGAAAAAAAAAAAAAGGAATTCTCCTTTAGTAAGTAAACATTAAGAAATGGACTACATGGGAGTACACACAATATCTACTTCCACATTTGTTCAAATTTAGATGTAACTGATTCTTTACAACATATATAATTGCAAAATGCTGGTACTTGTAACAAAAGATAGTGGTAAAATCTCTTTCATTATGTGGCTCAAGAGACTTTTCTCCAAGGGAAAACAAAAACACAAGTTATACATAGGTGACCTCACCCCCACATACCCCTCTGTATTATCTACATAAAATGGAATTCATTGTAATATGTATATAAATTTCATTACTATCACCATATCATGACTTTGGATAAAAAATGCATAACAAGTTAACAGCATGGAGAAATTGCTGTTGGTGTAATGACAACATTCCTAGAGTAGAAGTGAGAAGACTTAGGGTCAAATACGAATGCCATCACTTCTAAGTACGTGGCTTGAGCAAATCATACAATCAACTCTGCTGAGCTTTTTCCAATCCATAGTTGGAAAAAATTCTCCTTATCTCCTGGAGTCATTGTTGAACAATAAATCAAATAGCAGGTTACATGAAAGCATGCAGCATATCACTAAAGGTTGCTTTTCATTCTCTTTTCCTCTCCAAAACATAATGAACCTCCATCCCTGTGCCCTCCCCAAGGAACTAGATTTGATTGCTTTGTAATTATGATGTGCATGTAACAGTGTCCAAAAAACTAGATGGTAAATAACACCAACATGCAAACCTGAATGCACACATTGTCAGTAGGCTATCATCTAGATCCCTAAGGGCTCTTGCACACTATCTATTGTGTCCCAGAAACCTGATACCTTTGCTTTTCTCAATACAGCCAAAATTATCCATGGGCTTTGACATATCACCATCATGATTTTGCACAGAGCAGCTGGTTGATTGAAAGTGACTTCCCCTCCCCCACACTCCAGCTGTCACCAGGAAACCCTTCTCAATGTGTGAAAAAGACTATGTAATATTACTACTACCATTATTAATAACAATCTAACAAATGCTTAGTGCTTGAAATTATTTTGCTATGAAAGCTCACTATTAACTAAAAATTGGGTCTTTAAAAAAGACACTTTACCATATAAATGCAGGCCAGCTGCTTTTATACAACAGAAAACGTGGGATGATAAACACAAGTAATACTGTATATTTCCTTTGACTCCTTTTTTCTTTTTCCCTGAGTCATTTGCAATGCTAAACAATAGTCAGTTAAAATACTAAATAGCTTTTAATAGTCACACAGCTGTCACAACTTAGGATTTTTTAGGAAGATGGATTTCTCATAATGTGCACAGAATCCTATTTTTGTAAAATATGGGTCAGACTGAGGGCTGGATTTTTTTAAGTAATAACTTACTCCCATGTACAAAAAGCCATGCATATGTTGACACTGTAGAAAACCCTGGGAATTGTCTTTAGAACATGTTGGCAAATCCCACTCACCAGAATTCTTTATGATATTACTTTTAGGTAGGTGTAACTCAGAATCAAGAGTTTATGTTCTTCAACTGCACAGCTTCTAACGTTTCTCAGCTCCTGAGATTTAAAGGTAAGATTTTCATTTAAGGACACTCCCTGCTAAAAACACCTGAGGACCAATGCTTTGATTAATATAACCAGCATTTAAGGAAATCTATTTTTTAAGGAATGACTTCTATCCTTTTAAGTTTATTTAAAAATATCCATATATGCAGGTCTAATTTGACATAACTGAATACACTATTTCCTTTAACGCATCACCATATCACAATACATTGTCACGTAAACAAAGTATGACCTAGTACAAATCCTTTCAAGTACTTGCTCGTATATTCCTAGGCAATACACACCTACATAAAGATACACAAGATTCTTTTATCATTTTAAAAAAAAATAAAACATAAAGCTTCTTTCTCACTTTGCTACCATTAAGTATTCATATTGAAAAATATTAACTATGAGTGTTTCAGGCCTAAGAATACTTTCTTATTTTTCGGTGTATATTTTCAGTGAAGTCTCCCCTTCCACAGTGTCCCTTTTATAGCTGATGGTCCCCATTAACTAACTGAAGAGACTGAAATACTAGTCATTGCCTGATCTTGGCCTTCTGGGAAACTCCCTAAACAACTTCCGGAAGTTGTTCCTACACAAAATGAGATCGGTGCTGCTCAGAGTCTCTGTTTTCTCCATTTGCTTTCTCTCATTCACAATAATGTGAAGGCTTTACCTCTGCACTTCAGCATCTTTTGCTTAAAAAGAAAAGCTATGCTGTTAGTACAATTATCTCATTTCCAAAATTATTAGGAGTTATGAATGGGATACAGTTAGGCTTGAGTTGATACTCTTCCCCCACCCCCACCACGCAACATGAACATCTGTTGAGTCTCCAGCCTTATACTCTATATGTAGACTATGCAATCTTGCATTTAATTCAATGGTGTGACTCCTACTTTACAAAAGACATTAAAACTGGGAGGATGTTAATTTATCCAAAGTACACCACCAGTACATAGTGGAAACAAAACAGGGTTTGCCTGATGCAAAACCACTGTTGCAGACCTGCCTCTCTGATACACAGAACAAGAAAATATTCAGTGTTCTTCAAACACAAGTATCTCATGATGGGTCAGTATGACTTTGGTGGTAGCTCTAACTACTTATAGAAGTTGAAGCCCAAAGTGACTGATGTTCATCTGCAGACTCTCCAACCCACAATATCCGGGAGCCACGGCATGGCCTGGGGAGCACCGTGGTCCATGAAAATGACAATGCTGCATAGGCCACGGTTAGGCACTGACCCTTCTCAACACTGCCATGAGCCTAGGCTTTCACAGCAGCTGCTTTCAAACCCTGAGAATTTCTTTCTCCTCCAACAGCGTCCTCCCAGCCCAGCCAGAAAAGGGAAAGGAAAAGTTGTAAGATAACACTATATCTGACAAGCTCAGAAAACTACAAGTTGAGAGCAGTCTGACTTAACTCCCATAATGCTCCCCGCAAATGAGAGTTTTGAGAGTGGACAGGAAGCCTGCTTTGCTGTCATGGAGCTGTGTCACATATGGGAAACAAAGATAAGAACAAAAACATCTTCAGCCTGGGCTTGCACGGCACTGTTCCGTAATTCTTCTTAATCTAAGGCAAGTGCTTACTTCTGGTCTTTACCCAATTCTGCATTAGAAGGGGTATAACTAAGATGAAGAAACCAGAAGCCCAAAGGAATAAAAACACTCTTTAAACCATCACCGATGCTATTCCTAAAAATACTACAGCCACAATGGCACTGGTATCCGGCCTACTGTTGTAAATTTTAATTGGATATCCTGCATCCGACCACCTTTCTGAGAATCCAGAAGTCAAAAGATAAAATGCCCTCAAAGTAGTGGTCAAAATATCCATGCACAACAACCCTAACCCAATAAGGAATGCTTCCAGTGCAATCTATGTCCTTACTTCAGGCACTAGTAACAAGTTATTTAATAGTATCTGATCTTTGTTTCTATGTGAGCTAGTGTTAAAAACTTGTCCTGCACTTCTACATGGAATACTACTTAGACCTATGAAGTAACATTTAAGTAACTTGTCCATGGTTCTACAACTAAAAGTACTTCCTTGCAAATTCCATTATCTGTGACACCTCAATGGGTGTTTTTTAGCACTAGGCCAATAGTTCTCAAACTGAAGCGCATAGCTGCTCTGGGACTAACTGCATTGGCAGTTAGTCTAACACAGATTTCCGTCTAACACAGATTTCCAATTCACCAGGTCTGGCGTGAGACTCAAAAATCTGCATTTCCAACAAGTTCCCAGATGACGCTGATGGCTACTAGTTCGAGGACAACTTAAGAATCAATGCATTGCTTTCCCAAACCATGCCAGTCAACAGTAAACTAGAAGCCTTTAAAGTTTATTAGAATCAAACTAAAACACATATACATTTGCGAAATCAGCCAAATATATATTTTTTAAATAGCAATTTCAAAGAACTAAAACAAAAGTGGGGGTGGGGGTCTGGGTGTCATCGACTATACTGAAAGGACCCACACACTTTGCTAACGAAATTATAGCTTTGCAATAATTCATTTTTGGAGTAACCCTAAATCGTCAAGACTTGGGGGAAAACCACTCATATGATCCGCGTTTTGGAAAAATTCTATCCAGAGGCTTTTAAGGCTGCGCAGAAAGGGTTAAATGCGGTTAGGTGGACTTCCTGACCCCCTGTAAGGGGAAAACCGCCACGCACCGGGTCACAGGGAGCGAAGTTACTGTCCCGCGAGCGCCTGAAACCGCGAGTGCGCAACGCGCCTTTAAAACTTCTGCTTTCCGCAGCAAGCCTTCACAGCGGCCCCAGCGCCGACCCCAGGCGCGGGCGCCTCCCACCACCTCTGGGGTGAAGCAGAGGCCGGGCGAGGACCACCCGGGTCCTCCGGAAACGCCCTCGCGGCTCCCAGACCCGCGCTAGCGCCCAGAAACGGGGCGGCCGCGCCCCCACCCCTGCCCGGGCCCGGGACCCCAGGAGGCGCCGACGGCCCCCCGACAGCCCCGCAGCCCAGCCGCCGGCGCCCACACCTGGAAGCGCGAAAAGACGACACAAACGCGGCCAAACAGACGCAGACACTCACGCTCTCTACGGCCCGCCTGCGTCCCCACGTCTCCGTGCGCACGTACGTCATCACGCACGGACGCCCCATCCCGGACGCTGCCGCTCCGCGACGCCGGCAGGGCCGCGGGAGGAGGCGTGGGCAGCCGGACGAGGCGGCTCGCGGCCGGGGTTGGGGACTGCGAGGCCTGCGAAGCAGAAGGCCTGGCTGCGGCGCGGGGGCCAGGACTTCTCCCGGGCTCTGGAAGCAGCGCTTGTACCTTCCAAACGCCTTGGGAGACGTGGCCGGTGTTCCTCGGTGGCTTGCGTGACTGCGGCGTGCATTAGGGGAGACGGTGGAGGGGGAGAAGCCGGCAAGGCAGGTGCCTTTGCCAGGCGAGTTACCGCCGAAAAACTGCCCTTCGGGGCCCCGGCGCAGCCGCAAGCCCCTGGGCTACCGGATGGAGCAGCCCTGTGCCGCCCGTCAGGTGGAGCGTGGGACAGACCCCCACCTGCGGCCAAACGAGGGCGTGGGCCCGGGCCGCGCCCCCGGAGCCCTGGTTCTGATCTGCCCACTCGAAGGGTGTTTGGGTTAAGTGTTGCCAACTTATTTGCCACTTGAATTGCCTCCCGCTTGATTCTGGAACCAGGTTTATGTTCAGCGGTGGGAGTCCAGCATCGCGGTGCTGTGTTTATTTCATATAAGGGGAAGACGGTCCTGCTGTTTGGGGTGGAATGTCCTAATGTCCACCGAAACAAAAACTGGCTAAAGCAGAAGAGCTTATCTTTTTAAAGATTTATTTGAAAGAGTTGGGGAGGGGGCAGAGAGAGGGGTCTTCCATACGCTGGTTCACTCTCCAAATGACTCCCAAGGGCTGGAGCTGGACCAGGCAGAAACCAGAAGCCAGGAGCTTCTTCCAGGTCTTCCCATGTGGGTACAGGGGCCCAAACACTTGGACCATCTTCCGCTGCTTTCCCGGGCCATTAACAGGGAGCTGGATGGGAAGTGGACCAGCAGGGACTTGAACCGGCGTCCGTATGGGATGCTAGGATTGCTTATCTCTTGTCAGTGTATTTTTGGAATTTTAAATTTAAGTAACGATTTGGTTACTGTACGGGATATGCCAGTCTATACGTAGATACACAGGATATATAAAGTATCACAAGCTTTCAGGTGGCAAGACTCTTAGAGAATCGCAACTATGTTTAAGGCCACCAAGAAACACACCAAACACCTGAGTAAGAGAAAGGGCTTATTGACAGGAACCCCGAGGAGGGGAGTGAGAGGAGGGGGAGAGGGAGAGAGAGAGAGAAGGGTAGAACTTGTGCGTGAAAGAGCAACCACTCCTGTTAGGGTGGGGGTGGAGCTGACGCTTGGAGTTGGGCCTTTTAGTCACCTGACATCTAGTGGGCCAGGCTAGGTTTAGGATTGAAGCTTGCTATGCAAGGTGGTGATGGGGGCCAGAGCCTGAGACGGCACCATTTTACTAACAGTATGTGTTCTTGAACCTTGTAAATGATTCTTTTCATTTCAAAACAATACACTGATCTGAGAGCTTGGCTGACAATGAGAAACTGCATTCTTAAAAGTCAGAAGAATAAGGGGAAAAGTAAATTGCCTGTAAAAGTATTTTATATATTTCTCTAGGAAAAAATAAATGTAACTTCTCAAAAAGGAAGGGAGTCTCCATTTATCCTTCTCATCATATGCAGGCATTGAATTCGTACTAATCCTATCTTCAATTCTCCATCATTGAGGACACCTTTTTATAATTGCATCATTTTTCTTGCCTTTATCAGAAGACATCAAATACAGAGGTAATTTAAAGGAAGCCACAAATCAAGAAGCCACAATACAGTAATCATAAAAATTTAATTATATGTAATAATTAAGAATATACTTAGATAATCCTGATTCAAATATTATTAGTTGAAAATTTCATAGGCATTTAAGAAGACAGAAAAGGTATGCACCTTTTTAAAAATGACCTTCTCTATTGTCCTGTACGATTTATTGAGCAGACTGGAATTTTTTTAAAATTCCTGTTGAAATGAGCATGTTGTATAATACTCAAGTCCCATTTAAATTGATAATCATAACTTAAACAGTAACTACATATCTTTAACATTCAGGGCAGTCAGCAGCATCCTTTCACCAAATAAGGCTTAAAAATATCAAAGAAAGCTTGATAATTACATACTCATTGCCTTTTTAAAATAATGTTTCCTGGTGACTTGATCAGCCATTGCCCTGACTGTTGATGAACAACTTAATACGTTATCCCTCTTGGTATTTTTTTTTTTTGTCTGTTCTACTTAATACTATTGGTTTAGTTCTGTAATTAATACACAGTTATTCTTAAGTGTTGAAACTTAACTGAAAAGTGATCCCTGTTAAATATAAGAGTGGAAATAAGAGAGGGAAGAGATGTGCAATTCGGGACATGCTCAAGCTGACTTGCCCCAAACGGTAGAGTTAGAAACATACCAGGGGATTCCAATTCAATCCCATCAAGGTGGCATGTACCAATGCCATCTCACTAGTTCCAGTGATCAATTTCAGTTCACAATTGATCATAATGATAGGACTAAGAATCAGAGAGATCACATAATCAAGACTAGTGTCTGAAAATACTGATAGAACAAAAAAGGGAGAGAACGATCCAACATGGGAAGTGGGATGCACAGCAGACTCATAGAATGGCAGATGTCCTAAACAGCACTCTGGCCTCAGAATCAGCCCTAATGGCATTCCGATCTGGCTGAAAGGCCCATGAGAGTATTTCAGGCATGGAAAGCCAAAACACTCTGTCAAAAAAAAAAAAAAAAAAAATGGAACACTATGGCCCCTAAATGAAAGATATCCCTGAGTGAGAGCCCAGTGGAAAGAACAGGTCTTCAAAGAAGGAGGTACCTTACTCTGAAGGGAGGAGAGAACTTCCACTTTGACTATGACCTTGTCTAAATAAGATAAGAGTCGATGAACTCAAAAGGCTTCCATAGCCTTGGCAACTCATGACAAGAGCCTAGGGTGATTACTGATGCCATAAACAGGAGTGTCAATTTGTTAAGTCAACAACAGGAGTCACTGTGCACTTACTCCTCATGTAGGATCTCTGTCCTTAATGTGCTGTACATTGTGATTTAATGCTATAACTAGTACTCAAACAGTATTTTTCACTTTGTGTTTCTATGTGGGTGCAAACTGATGAAATCTTTACTTAATATATACTAAACAGGTCTTCTGTATATAAAGAGAATTGAAAATGAATCTTGATGGGAATGAAAGGGGAGAGGGAGCGGGAGATGGGAGGGTTGCGGGTGGGAGGGAAGTTATGGGGGAGGAAAGCCATTGTAATCCATAAGCTGTACTTTGGAAATTTATATTCATTAAATAAAAGTTAAAAGAAAAACAATAATGCTTCCCAAAAAGCTCAAAAATGTGTATCTTTATCATGAGAAAACACAAAGCATGGCAACTGTGCACATTGTGTGGAATACATTAGGCATATTTAATGATCTAAAATAAATATTCTGATTTTATCCAGGGCTTCCAGGAAGGCAATAATACCTAGGATTTAGCGACTTGGCTTAAATGAGTGTTCCTAAAATAGAGTGAGAGTACATCAGGCAACACCACCAAGCAATAAATACACTTGATTAGCTTTTCTAAGGGTGGAGCTTGCTCTGCTCTCTAATTGTTTTAATATATTAAGTATTTAGTGTTATATTCAAATCTGCACCAAAAGATATGTAAAGCTGATCAAAGAATTTGTTTCTTGTTATGGAAAAGCTTGAAAATTAATTTGAGAATAATTTAAGAACTAGTAAAGTGCAGAACAGCACTGTGCTTGGTGATGATGATGCCAACAATATTAAACAGTGAAAGGCCATGCAAATGATGATCACCAGACTTGTAGTGGCTATACTAATAACAGACTAAAAATAGACTCTAGGGGATCTTTCTAGAGACAAAGGAACATTTTGTAGTGATGAGAATGAATATATCAAAAAGATACAACAATTGTAACTGTATGCACCCAACATAACCCTAAATTCATGATGCAAAAGTTGATGGAATTAAATGAATAAATAGACAATAATAGCTTGATATTTATTGAAATACACTATGCCTAATAATGGATAGAACTAAATATAAAATCACTTATGGAAGCTTTGAAGAACAGTATCAACCCAACTAATATGTATAGATCATTGCACTTAATGACAAAATTTAAATTCTTTTAAGAAGTATATTCTCCAGTATAGCCCATATGCCAGAGAAAGGTCTGGATAATTTTAAAAAGGCCGGGATCACACAAAGTATGTTCGCTAGCATCTAGATGATTGAATTAGGAATCAAGGACATTTGAAAAACTCCCAAAATATTTGGAAATTAAACTGAATTACTCATGGGCCAAAGAAGTAACAAGAAATTAGAAAGTATTTGAAACTGAATGAAATGAAAACATTGAAAGACATGAATTGCAGCTGAAACTGATCTGAAGGATATGTGCTGATTTACACAGCTGTGTTTCAAAGGAAACGGGGTTTCATTAATCTAGGTTTCCACCTTAAAAACTAGAAAAAGGAGAAGCAACTTAAGTCCATAGCAAGGAAAAGAGAGTAAATAATGATCATATTGGAAATCATGGCAGTTAATAGAAAAATAGAGAAAGCAAGTGAAAATTAAAAGTTGGTTTTTGAAAAGATCAATAAAATTCTCTCCTCCTTTCCACTTTTAATATGACCCTGTCGGAATAAGATCGAAGTCGGCGAACTCAAAAGGCTTCCGTAGCCTTGGCTACTCATGATTAGAGCCTAGGGAGATTTCTGATGCCATAAACAAGAGTGTCAAATTGTTAAGTCAACAACAGGAGTCACTGTGTACTTACTTCTCATGTGGGATCTGTCCTTAATGTATTGTCCAGTGTGAATTAATGCTATAACTAGTACTGAAACAGTATTTTACACTTCGTGTTTCTGTGTGGGTGCAAACTGATGAAATGTTTACTTAATATATACTAAATGAATCTTCTGTATATAAAGATAATTGAAAATGAATCTTGATGTGAACGGAATG